GTTTTACAGATGAGGAGAGTAAAGCTCGGGGGAGAGAGAGGTGCAGAGCTGGGCTTTGAATCACACAGCCCTGACGTCTCGGGCCCAGAATGTCGCCACCAGGGTCACCAGCTTGTCACACTGACCCACAGGCCACCCTGTGAGTGGGCTCAGGGCTCAGATAGCATAAGGGAGGTCGGCCGAGGGGCCGTGGCCTCCTCCCAGCCAGCGCAGCCCGTGTTCTTCTCTGGCCTGCTGGCCTCAGCAGCTCATCTCCTCCGTCCGCAGCGGGGACTCCCTCTTGTCCACAGCACCCTCTCCTGCTGACGTACCTGCTCCTGTAACCAGTAGGTATTCGAGGAGACTCCTCCAGCCGAGCTTTTTGTTTATTGCTTGGGAGACACCGAAAGAATTCGAATCTGTAAATATCCCGAAACACACTGAAAATTTGCTATCTGTGGCTTTGGCTGGCTTCCCATCTTGCCCCATAAAACAGCCTCCGTTTTATCTTCTGCCCTTTACAAAACATACGCATACACACAACAAAAACCCCTGCATCTGGATGGAATTAATTCCAGATCACAGTTTTTAAATTAAATTAAAAAACCCAGAATGCTTCCAGCCGGCCGACCACGGGGAGGGCAGGCCGAGAAAGGCAGGAGAGCTTCTGGGGGATGTGGCCTGGGCTCTCCAGCCGGCTGCCGCCTCCCGTGTGGGCTCCCTTGCAGGGAAGTGGGAGTCGGTGAACGAGGGGTCTCCGGCAGGTGCGCCCCTGCTTTCTCTGAGCGGGGAGAGCAGGGGGAGCAGGCCACCACTCCGCATCCCCCCCGAATGCCAGTTGGAACAGGCGGCTGCGGAGGCCTGTGGGCCCAGCAGCGCCCACGCACGCATGCACGCTCGCAAAGCCAGTGACACGCTGAGATGCGGGATGCTCTGGGGGGCGGGGACTGGACTCTGTCCTCAGGTCCTCAGGTCCTGGTACGGGGTGAACCGGGACAAGTGGGCACGCCACGCAGTTGCGGGAAATCCCTCCCTGGACATCCAGGCGTGACCTTGGGGTTTTCCCAAGATTCAGCACACTCTGGGGTTAGGTGATCTGGGTCCGAATCCCAGTGCGGCCACTTCCCAGCAGGCCAGTGACTTGGCCTCCCTGGTCCTCGTTTCCCCATCTGTGCAGGGGGCAGGCTGGCCCGTCCGCTCCCTCCCGGGATTGTTGCAGGGACTGAAAAACACGGGCTGCTGGTGTATTCTCTTTGCTAGCAGTGCTCTTCACTGTTTGTGAATATGTAGAGAGGAGGTAAAATCCAGTGAAGAAGCTAATATATCAAGGCCACCATTGTCACCAGCTCACCACAGCATTCCACGCGTGTCAGCTTCAGTGACATCAGCAGCCGCTCTGCACTGAGTGTTGGGCACGCAAAGATACGTGGGACCCCGACCCTAGCCTCAGGGAGCTCTGAGCTCCAGGAGCCAACTTGAGTCCTACAAAACAGCCAAGACAACACCGTGTGTTCTGGGAAACCCAGTGACTTTGGGAGCCCGAAGGAGGGGTCGGGTCATCAAGGAGGGCTTCCTGGGAGGAGGTGATAGCTGAGCTGAGACTTGGGTGCACAGAAGGCAGGGAGTGAGCTCCGGGCAGAGGAGCCACGTCGACCAAGGCCTAGAGGAGACTTGTCTGCTCTGAGAGGACAGGAGCGAGGCTTCTGAGGTCAGATCCTGGCTCTTCACCTAACGGCTACGAGATCCTAGATGAGTCTCTTAACTTCTCTGAGCCTCAGTTTCCCATCTATAACATGGGGCTGGTGGTGACAGCAGCGACGCTTCCTTCTGTGTTTGCTCTGGGTGCCAAACGGGCTACCGACACGCACTGCCTGCCGCTCTCCTTACTCTGGTTGTTTCTCAGTCCTGCTGGCTCCAGGCCCAGCTGCGGCCCAGCCGCCACCCCCGGCTGGCGTCACGGTCCCCTCTCTGCGGGGCAGCATCTGCACACAGCTGCCCTGCCTCCCCCTTCCCGCTCCCCTCCCTCAGCCCTGAAGCTGCTGCCATGGGAACCACCAGGAAGAGGCCTGATGCTTGCAGCAATGCCGTGGGGGCTCCAGGGAGCCTGGAGAGGGGGTGCTGGGGAAAGCAGGAGGGCCGGAGCCTGGAGCCAGGCCCGCCTCCTCTGGCCACGTGGGCGTCCACCTCAGGACTCATGCCTCCGCCAGCCAGGCCAGGCTGCCGGCCCCTGTTCGCCGACAGAAATTCCACACCCCGATGTAGCCAGGCAAAGCTAGCCTCCCCTGGCAGTGAGGCAGCTTGGGGCCTGGCTGTCAGTCATTCACACCTTAGCGTGAACAAGCCCCCAAGACTGCTGCAGGCCCCATGGAGGTGGTGGCTGGAGGTAGGACCCCCACAAGGGAAAGGGGGTGGCCCAGATACGGAATTGCATCTCGCCCCTCAAGCGGATACTGAGCCCTGAGCACTTACCAGTGGCTGCTCCATGCCAAGTGTTTGGATACCCAGAGACCGCCCACTTGAGGGGCCTCCAAGCACCCAAGCCAAGTCTTCGGGGGAGCGGGGGGAGTTTGGCTAAGTAAGGGGATGGATGGTGTTCCAGGTAAAGCACACATGTGGGCAAAAGTGAGCAGCCCTGGCCCCAGGCCCGGGGGTCAGAGGGCAACAGCCCCTGCCTCCCTGCTGAGGCCAAGGCTGGGAAGGGGAGAACTGACACTGAGATGGACTCAGCCATCTCCTGCAGGCCCAGAGACATGTAGGGGTTCTCCCAGGCCACACAGCAAAGCTGGGCCGTGGAGGAACCTGGGCCAGGCCCCCTGGCTCGGGGCCTGTGCTCTCCAGCCTCAGGCAGGTCTAGAGGGATCTGCCGTGGGGCCCCAGGACACCAAGGGGCCCTGTCTGGGCAGGAGCTGGTCGGGGGAGGGGGGTCCCTCCTCGTGAGCAGGGGCAGCGAGGCTGGACGCTGGCTCTCAGCAGTGTGCCTCCTCTCTGCCGCCTGCCTGCGCACACCCGCCTGAGCACACATGCCTGCGCACACCCGCCTGCGCACACCCACCTGAGCACACATGCCTGCGCACACCCGCCTGAGCACACCCACCTGCGCACACCCACCTGAGCATACCCGCCTGCGCATACCCGCCCGAGCACACCCTCCTGTGCACACCCGCCTGAGGACATCCGCCTGCGCACACCCGCCTGAGCACACCTGCCCGCGCTCACCCTCCCAAGCACACCCGCCTGCACACACACCCCTGTGCACACCCACCTGAGCACACCCGCCTGAGCACACCTGCCTGCACTCACCCACCCGAGCACACCCGCCTGCACACACACCCCTGTGCACACCCACCTGAGCACACCCGCCTGTGCACACCTGCCTGCACACACCCTCCTGCGCACACCCGCCTGCACACACCCACCTGAGCACACCCACCTGCGCACACCCTCCTGCGCACACCCGCCTGGGGACACCCACATGAGCACACCTGCCTGGGCACACCCGCCCACGCACACCCTCCTGCGCACACCGGCCTGAGTGCACCCACCTGAGCACACCCGCCTGAGGACACTAGCCTGAGGACACCCGCCTGTGCACACCCACCTGAGGACACCCTCCTGCGCAGATGCCCGCAGCAGGGAGCAGATGGAGGCTGTGTCGGAGCGATTAATAAATCAGTCCCTTTGAACAGCCGCCGTCCCTGGCGGGCACTGTTCAGAGCACAGCTGTCCCAGCTGCACTGGCCAGCCCAGGAAACAGCCCTCCCTGGGCACCCAGGGGACACTCGGACCCTGGCCTGGGAGAGGGGGACGGAAGGACCCAGACAGCCCAGTCCTGGGTGGTGGGAGCTCAGTTTGACAGGCACTCAGGACTCTGGGCCAGAGGAGGGGCCCAGCCCAGCCATGTAGGAGGGGCAGTGCATCTGGAAGCCTTCCTGGGGGAAGCGGTGTTCGAGAGGGGCAGGTGGGAGCCAGGCAGGGAAGGGAGGAGGCAGGGAAAGGGAAAAAGCTGCCCAGGCAGAAGGCACAGCCCGTGCAAAGGCCCGGTGTCTGAGTGAGCGGGGCATGGTCCTCAGTGAAGGGATGGGGTGGCGGGGAGCCAGGCTTCGCAAAGGAGCCGCGAGCCCCAGCAGCCTAGAACTCACCCTCGCTTCTACTTCTAGAGGGTGCAGCAGTGCTCGGCGGGGAAATGCTGGGTGAATGAACAGGAAAAACCGTGTCAGGGGACCCTAAGAGCCCCAAACACGTGGGGAGAGGGGGCAGGGGAGGTAGGTGCTGGTGGAGCAGCCAGGACCAGTGGACTGCCCTGTGGGGTGTGGGGAGGGAGGCTGAGCCCACCTCTGCTTCCTGGACTTCCGAGAAAGGGCAAGAGCGAGCAGGCTGAAGGGGAGGCTGCCCCCGGGGAAGGGGGGCACCAGCTGAGTTCCTGGCAGCATGTGGGCGTGTGCGGTGGCCCAGTGTGGATGCTGAGGGCCAGGGGTTTATGGCTCAGGAAGTTGGTTTGGTTTGTCCTAAGATGTCCTGCATTTGCCCTGGGTCCAGTAAGGTAGGGAGGGGCTGTGGGGGACAAGGGGCGGAGGACACAGTAAGGGATGCAGGAGAGCATCCCAGGAGGGAGGAACAGCATAAGGAACCGGGGGCAGGCAGGCGGGGGGCACCCACAGGAGCCAGCTGGCCGGTCTAGGAGCAGCTCCCATGTTGGGAGAGACATGAGGGTGAAGGTCCTTCCAAAGCCCTAATGAAGTGGGGCCCACTGGGATCCCTGCCCATGCTGGGATCCTGGCGGGGAGATGCTCCAGGGGACCAGGGTGCAGGGGAGTGGATTCCCAGGATCTAGGAGGAGGCGATCAGGCAGGTGGAGGGAAGGAAGTGGAGGGTGGGTGTGAGGATGGGGAGCCTGGACTCCTGGCCCGCCGGGGGAGGTTGCGGCCCCTCCTCTCTGGGACCCTGGAGTAGCCCCGTGGATTAACTCTGTCGATGGGGGTTGTGGTCCTCTTTCCCCTCAGAGTCTGTCTCTTTTCCTCCAGCAATTACACCGCCTTGCTGGGAGTGTGGATCTATGGCTTTTTCGTGTTGATGCTCCTGGTCCTGGATCTTTTGTATTACTCGGCAATGAACTACGACATTTGCAAAGTTTACCTGGCGCGGTGGGGCATCCACGGACGATGGATGAAACAGGACCCCCGGCGGTGGGGCAAAGCTGCCCGGCCCCCTCCGCCAGGGCAGCCCGCCCCACAGCCCCAGCCTCCCCCAGGCCTGCTGCCGCAAGCCCCCCAGGCCGTGCACACGCTTCAGGGAGATGCTCACAGCCCACCACTGATGACCTTCCAGAGTTCGTCTGCCTGGTGAGTGCTTGCGATCGAGGCTGCCATGGTGGATCACTTGTCTTTGCCAAGCTTGGAAAATAATTGGGTCGTTATTGCTGCTGTGTTTGGCTTCTTGATTACCTGATCGTTTGCTTATCTTATTTGCCAAGAAGGATTTGAAGTTGCCCATGATAGCACGCACCTGGGCCAGAGTCAAACGTGAGGTGGAAACGGAGCTTGGGAGCCCGGCTTGCCAGTTTATTGCACTTAGAGACTGGTGCGGGAGTGATTGCCACTGAGCAGTTAATGGAGTTGTGAGTTTCCTGGCTGCCAAGGCAAAAGGGGAAATTGGATGGCTTTCCAAGTTTTCATGGTCAAATGAAGCAAATGGGTTCTTGGAGGCTGGGGATAAGCTTTTTCAGCACGAAGTTAGGAAATAAGCATATTACTGGGTTGGTTCCTTATGTTCACATGCACTGAGTCTCTTAAGAATGTCTGAGGCAATGCAGGCAGGCTGCTTCATGATGGCTCAGGGGAAGGGAAGGGAGGCAGCGAGGGAGGTGGGATATCAGGGGGTTAGCCTAGTAGCCTGGCTGCATGTTCAAACCTGACTTTCTCTACTGTGACTCTCATTTCTGCCCAGTCCCAGGCCAGTGGGAGGTGGGGGAGGACCGACCGTCCCTGGGCAGTACAGACTTGGACAAAGGGAGGAGGGCTGTACATTTTGGAGCAGGAGCCCACTGTGAGGGAGGACCGCACAAGGAACAGGAACCAGGCAGAGGGCAGATGCCCCAGGCAAGAGGTGGGGTGTGGGGTCCAGATGCTCTGTCGGGGCTGAGCTGCAGCCACGGGCACGTGGGATGTGGGGCACATCACCCCGGAACGTCCCAAGACTGAGCCCTGGCTGCGAGATCCATCCCAGAGCCCACCTGCTGGCAGGTGCACAAATTTTCAGTACAGTGATTTCTGTCGAGTCTGTGAGCAGGAAACCCGACCTGGGTGCGAGTCCCAGCTCTGCCATTTACCAGCTCTATGTGCAGGCAAGTTACCTCGGCCCTGCAGAGGTAACTTGCCTTCCCGTCCTTAGGAAGCAGTGGAGAGTAAGCATGGTCCCCTGCCAGGGTCCTCGAAGGGTTAAATGAAATGTCTGGCACCTAGTAGGTGCCCAGTTAACCATGGTGCTTCCTTGCTGGAGATGCCACCAAGCTAGTTAATGACCATTAAATAGCTAGCAGGTAGCGACCTTTTCAATAATGAATCACTTAAATAATTCATAAGATACACTTAAATCAGCTTATTGATCAAATAATTGCCCCATTTATCATGCAGAAAAAAAAAACACAGCCCTGTTCAGCTCAGCTTGACAAATGCCCACTGAGGCGGTCCCCTGGGTCCTTCCCCCGTGCCGGGCTCCGGGTAATGTCAAGGCTATGGGTGGAGAACCTTGAGAAGGACAGAGAGGCACAAACCCACGCAAAGCTGCGGACCATGAAACAGAGCCGGCCCCGGCGGTGGGGTTTTCTGAAATGTGGGTCTCTGGCAGCAGACCCACCTGGGGTGTTTGTCAAAATAAATTCCTGGGTCTCATCCAGAGCCCCCTGACCAGGAAACTCTGGGGGTAGTGCTTGAGGTACCGGAGTCTGAGAACCCCTGGAAAATGTTGTTACACAGGGCTAAGTGTTTTGAGAGCTGGGATTCTTCCACGTGAACAATGGTTTTCTCTCTCCCCCATTTGGAATGCCTCGTGCCTCCCTGAGCAACGGGCTTGCCAAGCTTGCTGGGCTTGTGCATCAAGTCCAAACCAGAGACTGAGCTCGCAGTCCTTGAGCCCTGCTGTCTAAGTGGGAGACATTTAATTTCGGAGCTCGGAGGCTCTTCGTGTCCCCCCTGGGTCCCCCATTGCGGACTCGAGATGGTGCTCCCATAACCGTATGGGCGTTCGAGAAACAGATCATCAGGAGCCTGCGAGGATGGGGGATGGGGGATAAAGGATGCCCTTGGTGCCTTCCAGCTCCGGTCTGCCCTCGACACCCAGTGTGACCTTGGGTGAGGGGCTTCCTGCTTGGGCTTCCACCGTACCCACCACGGGGAGAGGGGACGGACTTGGCGAGACCGTCTCCCGCCGGCCTCCTGGTGGGAGCCCATGGTTCTCGCAACATCTCTGGAGCACTTGCTGTGCCCCTTGGCACCATGCTTGCCGTCTCTGTCTTGCTCCACCCCCATGGGCTCGGTGCCAGGGCAGAGAGGTGAAGTGGCTTCCTCAAAGTCACCAGCTGGCGGTGGAGCGGGGATCAGGCCGCAGCCCTCTGCTGGCAGAGACCCCTACCCGCCCCGTGAGCACAGCGGAAAGGACAGGGTGTGCGTACCCGTGTTCCTCCACACTGTTCACGGGGGCTCGTTTCCCCACCGGCCGCCACCCCATCCTGGCCCTGTGCTGGGTGCTGGGGACAGGGGGCAAGTGACACACAAGACATGAGTGAACCACCGTGGGAAGACAGAAGGCTGTGACACAGCCTAGGGGCGGTGCCAGTGGCATGGGGGGCGGGGCACGGCCAGAGAAGATCCGAGCAGGTGTCCCACGCAGAGAGCCAGGGCTGTGACCCTGTGGTGAGTGTGGCCACCGGGGTGTCAGCAGGTGGGATGTGGGGCACATCACCCCGGAACGTCCCAAGACTGAGCCCTGGCTGCGAGATCCATCCCAGAGCCCACCTGCTGGCAGGTGCACAAATTTTCAGTACAGTGATTTCTGTCGAGTCTGTGAGCAGGAAACCCGACCTGGGTGCGAGTCCCAGCTCTGCCATTTACCAGCTCTATGTGCAGGCAAGTTACCATCCCACCCCACCCACAGGGGTGTGGCTGGGGCAGGGGCAGGCTGTACTCAGTGCTTCTCCCAGAACAAGAGCTAGTGTCTGGGCCGCTTCATGTCCAAACTGTCACCCTGGGTCCTCCAAACAGCCCCCTGAGCACTTCCCTGGCATCGCGGCGACGCGGCCCCCTCGGGTACAGGTCCCACCAGTTGCTCCCCTGCTCTTCTACCTCCGGGGCCCCCTTCCAGCCCGGCACCCCCACCACCCAGCTCTCTCTCCAGCAGAGTGACCGCCTCCTACCCACCTGCCCAGCGGCCCTGCTTTTCCCCTTCCTCACCCGCAACCTGAGGTGGCCTCCCTGGGGACACTTGCCACCTTGCCCCTTTGTTCGCAGCTTTCTTGTCAGTGGCACTCTGGCCCTTCCTGCCCCTGCCCGTGGCTGAGACCACTAGCAGCCCTCAGAGTCCTGCCAGACGGCTTTACCTGTTCCGACTGTAAGGCGACTGGACCCCCACCCCACGTGACGCGGCCGCAAGCGGGTCGTTTGCGTATCAGCACCACCCCTGGCATTACTGCAAGCAGCACATCCGTTTGGGGCTGGAGTTGACCGCCCGGGGCCAAGGGCTGCCCGTACCGATTGCCGGCTCTGCGGCCTCGGGCGAGGCATTCTACCTCCCGTGCCTCAGTTTCCCCATGAAGATACCAGGGGTCATAACCGTCTTGAGAATTAAAGGGGAGGATGCTTAGGGAGGGGCTTGGCCCGCCACCTGGCCCCATGTTGTCAATCCTCGTGGTCACTTCTCAGTTGGGTAGATAAATGTGGTAGGGGTCCTGCCCCCCAGAATTGACAGGGACATGCAACCTGCACTCACCCAGTGCCCTGCACGGGCCAGCCACATGCCACTGTGTCATCTCCCGTCTGCCCGCTGGGGTAAGGATGTTGTGCCCCACTTTCAGAAGTGGAAACTGGGGGGCTCGGAGGTCATTGGCTGGCCCGGATCACCCAGCAAAGTGGAGACTGAGGCAGGGCCCCACCCCAGGGCTGAGTGGCACCCTGGAGTCAGTGGTCTCTCTGTTGGGGGCTTGCCCACGGGGGGAGGGGGGAGCCTCCTGTCAGAACCTGGGCCAGTGCGTAGGACTGAGGCAGCCCCCCAAAGCTGCCACTGAAAAAGCAATCCTGGAGGCTCCATGGAGGAGGTGCACGTCCGCCCAACCCCGCCCCCCCCGTGGCCCCAGACACACTCCATCCAGCTCCAGCTCCAGAAATGCTGTGTTCCAGCCACTGGCCCGCGGCCCGATTGTCTCTGCACGCAGTGTGGCCCGGGCCCTCAGTCCCTGCGCTGTGGGCCGGCCTGCAGGGACTGGGGCCTTCAGCTCCCCGCTGCTCCCTGGCTCATGTCCTCCTCGAAGTGCAGAGGGGGCGCCCTTCTGACCCACACCCGGAGCCGGCCGAGCGCTGGGAGCCATGGCTGCACGTACCGTGTAGACACCGCCCGCCATAATTATTTCCATTGGCTGACCCCCGTGACTCCTGCAGTGGGAATTGAGTGCAATGGGGTTATTGTCCCCTTTTACAGATGAGCAAACATAGGCCCAGAGAGGGGAATTGACTTGCCCAGCCCACACAGTAAGTCCGTGGGCTGGAGCCAGATGTCCCCGGTGCCAGGTCTCCCAGGACCAAGTAGGACCCTGAGCCCAGTGCCACAGGCCACTGCCTGCCTCGTCCCACCTCACTCCTTCCCCTGTGGCCTGGCCCCCTCTGGCCCTTGCCAATTCACACCTCCCTGGGGAACACTCTTATTCATCCTGCAAAACCTTCCCTGAGGTCACAGGCCCTGGTCAGGCCTAGAGGCCTGAGGCCCAGTCGGGGGGTGTGGGATGGGGCAGTGACAGGAGGAAAGGAGGCTGCCCAGCCCCCATGGCTTCTCAATCTTTCAGAGCTCAGGGGAAAACTCCCGACTTGGCCTGGGAAGATGGTTGTTTGTGTATCTCAAACTTCAGTGGGCAGTCAGTCCCCTGGGGTCTCGTTAGATTTGCCAGTTCTGATGTGCATGATCTGGTTTGGGCCTGGGAGGTGCCGATGCTGCCAGTCTGGAGACCGCCCCTCGAGGAGCGGCGACAGAGCCATGCTGGTGGAGCTGGGAGCTCCTCTGCATGGTGGTCTCTGAGATATCAGGGCTCGGATTGACGGAAGGAGCTTAGGGAGCCAGGGGGGCTATCTCTGGAGTCCAT